TGTAAATGTTAAAAGGAGTTCGGTCCTAGACCTGCTCTATTTGAAAAGTGTCCTGAGATAACTTCTGTTATGAATTGGTGCTATACAGATAAAATTTAATTGAATTGATGTTTCTGAACAATGAAAGAGAAAACTGTGCAACCAAAGTTGTGATAAAGTACAACAACAGATTTGTCCGAACAAAAGGACAGTTATAATCCAACATTACTGACCAAATGATATCTTTCTGTTCTGCTGGCAAACTTAAATTAACCACAGTAGCTGCTGCCAGCAGTTATTTATGTAAGTCATAAAAATGCAGCTCTCAATGTGAATCAGCCATTAAAATTAATATTTAGATAGAAATTATTATTTTAGTTTTTTGCATTGTTAAACATCCATGTTGATATAAAGACTCCATCATCATTTTATCATTTTCATATAATTTAATCGTAAAAACCTAAAAACTTGCTTTCGATGATTTTAGAAAAGCTGAAATCAGACATTTTACAATTTCAGAATAAAAGCTTGTGTTTGTCCTCAGGAGACTTTAAAGGTCAGAAAGTGGAAACTCAGTGAGATGATTTTTATAAAGGTTTTATTGCAGAATGAGCAGATTTAAATGGAAAAGGCACCATGAAAACTATACACATACAAATGCTTTTATCGCTAACGTTTCTCTCTGATTGGCTTCTAGAACTGTTAAATACAGAAACAGCGATTATCCATAAAGTACTCAGCTTTAATCAGTAGTGTTAATTACAGAGTTGTGCTACAGAAAAACCTTTTCATCAGTTTATTCCACTTTTTACTTCCTTTACACTCAACCAGGAAACTGGTCGGAGACACTTAAGTGCATAAGTGGAAAACAAAATCAATACAATCAGTCGATGCCACAGTGAGTAAAGAGGCTGATCTTTGTACATATTATATGCGAGCATATACATACTTATTTATATTTTACAGACAACGTTTGCTCCAGATAGGCTGCTCGGTAGAAACTCATCAAAAAATAGTCACATTATTAGTTTGTGTCGTAGAAATAATTTTTTGCTTACAGATTTTTTCTTTCTTCCAACATTCGACCAACTTTTCTCAACACAGAATTCACTGTTGAAGAATCAATTCTCAAATTAAAATATTATTAAATATTCGAATATTGTGAGTGAGGCAGTGTGAAGCCCCGCCCACTTTGGGAACCTCGGCCAACTTCCTCCTCTCCTGTAATTAGATATGCTACGCTAGGCTAATCTATGATGGAAAATATAAAAGAGACATATAGTCACATCTTAAGTTAGCTAATGTTACCAAAAAACTAACATTTACATTACATTGATGCTAGCATTTTGCTAACATTAGCTAACTTAAGATGTGACTGTATGTCTCTTCTATATTTTAACCTTCTTCACAATATGGTTGTTTTTCCAACATAGATTAGCCTAGCATAGCATATCTAAGCACAGGAAAGTAGAAAGTTGCTCAACTGTGATTGGAGCACATAGAAAAAAGGGGCGGGGCTTATGAAGGGTAACCTAGTTCAGGATCTCCATGGTAACAGTGGTTTAAACCAATCTCCTGTATTAATAATCTATAAATAAATTGTACTTTCTGTCCACAGAAACTGCTGCATATAATGTACTGTAATTATCATTCAGTCGTTAACAAACTGTTAGCTTGAAGAAAACATTCATCGCCTTTAAAGCAGAAAACATTCAGTTCAGTGTTTGGACGACATTTGACCTCTTAGGAAAAACTGTAAAAAAAAAAATCAATCAGCCCATAAAAAAAAGACTAAACTGTTGAATCATTTCACAGGTTTGATTCTTCACATAGAAACTTTTATATTTGTATTATTGTGCAAAAATGCTGCTAACAGCATCCTGTTTGTGTCACTAACTAAATCATAAATTAGAATAAAGTTATTTTTCAGTCGATCAGTTCTATTATCAATTAAACTTCTGATAAAATAAAAGGATTATAACTATGAAAATCATAATTCTCTTGGCCCAAAAATCTGAAATGTACAGTTATATTTATCAGTGTATGAATAATGTCATAAAGCCACATTTACTGTGTTTATTATAATAATATTAATATTATCAACCCGTCACTTTAATCAACTGCTGGCTCCAGTTTGTGCCTCCAGTTTAATGTCGTTACAGTCAGAGTGAAGCATCTGCTGCTCTGGAAGATCTTTGAACAACCAACATGGTCCGTTAACAGATAAAGTATGGAAGCCCATCAGTGCCAGGAAAACAAAAACAAGATGGAAACTTACTAAAAATAATTTATTTATTAAGTCAAGATTAAGAGATCCAAACCCATAATTATGTTCATTATTTTATATCATAATTTTATTTATTATCAAGGCTAACTTTTAATCTTTTGTAATTATGATAAATCACTCCCATAATTTCAACTTTTTATCTCATAATTTAGATTTAACAACAACAACAAATTTTTCATTTTATTTTCTTATTTTACTTTCAGACTTCTATAACAATATCTGATAATTAATGCTAATTATGCTAATTGTCCAGGTTAGCATGTGTCAGTACTGAACAGGTTGGGGTTCAGGTTGACGTTGGATCAATAGAACGACTCCGTTGTGGTTAAAGAGGCACAAACTGCAGCCAGCGGGCAGCAGCAGCCGGTCGGACTTTAATACTGAGAGGCTTCGCTTTGGAAAATGAGCTACTGAGCAGCTTCAGACACCAACCAGACGCTCCTGCAGAAGAGAAACCTGCATCAGCGTTCAGTCAACTTGAGGCAAACGTGGCAGAGTTTTCTCTTTGTGTTCGAGCGGAACGGACGGCGTCCTACGGAGACGAGCTGAGGGTTTCCTGCCGCCGCCGCATGATCTCCACAAACTTGGCGTGGTCAGCTGCCGCCTGAGGATCAAGAGTGCGAGAAAAGAGCGGGATGCAGTGTGAAAGAATAAAAAGAAAGTACAGGAGGGAGGAAGGGAGGAGGGAGGAAGGGAGGAGGAGGGAGGAAGGGAG